GACAGACAGACAGACAGACAGGCAGGCAGGCACACAGACAGACAGACAGACACACAGATAGACAGACAGACAAGGAGACAAACAGACAGACAGACAGACAGACTGAGTTACCTGGGGTGTAGCTTGCACTACCGGGGCGGCCGGGGTGGATGTGGCTGCGTGCTGGGAGGGCTGTTGTGCCACTGTCTTGGCCTGTTTCTCTTCCTCGTCGTCATCATCGCTGGAATCTGACCGGTGGCTGGGTGGCTGTGGTGACAGGTGGTGAGGATATAAGGGGATAGGTGGTGATGATGTGTGGTGAGGATAGGTGGTGGTGATAGGTGGTGAGGATATAAGGGAATAGGTGGTGGTGATAGGTGGTGATGATAGGTGGTGATGATAGGTGGTGAGGATATAAGGGGCCCGGGGATAGATGGTGGTGATAGGTGGTCAGGATATAGAGGGATAGGTGATGGTGATAGATGGTGAGGATATAAGGGGATAGGTGGTGGTGATAGGTGTTGGTGATAGGTGGTGATAGGTGGTGATAGGTGGTGGTGATTATAGGTGATGGTGATGATAGGTGATGGTGATAGGTGGTGATAGGTGGTGGTGGTAGGTGGTGGTGATAGGTGGTGGTGATAGGTGGTGGTGAGGATATAAGGGGATAGGTGGTGGTGATAGATGGTGAGGTTAGGTGTTGATGATAGGTGGTGGTGATAGGTGGTGGTGATAGGTGGTGGTGGTGAAAGGTGATAGGTGGTGGTGATTGGTGGTGGTGATAGGTGACAGTGGTAGGTGGTGGTGATAGGTGGTGATGATAGGTGATAGTGATAGGTGGTGGTGATAGGTGGTGATAGGTGATGGTGATAGGTGGTGGTGATAGGTGGTGGTGAAAGGTGGTGGTGATGAATGGTGATAGTCATAGGTGGTGGTGATAGGTGGTGGTGATAGGTGGTGATGATAGGTGACGGTGATAGGTGGTGATGATAGGTGATGGTGGTAGGTGGTGGTGATAGATGGTGATAGGTGGTGATGATAGTTGATGGTGATAGGTGATGGTGGTAGGTGGTGGTGACAGGTTGTGATGATAGGTGGGGATGATGATATAATAATGCTGGTGGTGGTGATTGTGCTGGAAGTAGAAGTAGTGTCAATGGTTATGGAAGTAGCGCCGGTGATAGTGATAGTGATAGTGATAGTGACAGTGACAGTGATAGTGATAGTGATAGTGACAGTGACAGTGACAGTGACAGTGATAGTGATAGTGAAAGTGATAGTGATAGTGACAGTGACAGTGACAGTGACAGTGATAGTGATAGTGATAGTGACAGTGACAGTGACAGTGATAGTGATAGTGACAGTGACAGTGACAGTGATAGTGATAGTGATAGTGATAGTGACAGTGATAGTGACAGTGACAGTGATAGTGACAGTGACAGTGACAGTGATAGTGATAGTGATAGTGATAGTGATAGTGATAGTGATAGTGACAGTGACAGTGACAGTGATAGTGACAGTGATAGTGATAGTGATAGTGACAGTGACAGTGATAGTGATAGTGATAGTGACAGTGACAGTGA